TCATTGACATATAGAATTGAGTAAATTTAAGGTTTACGATGTGATTATTTGATAGGTGTGTATATTGTAAAATGTTTTCCACAATAAGTTAACACATCCATCACCTCACATAATTACCATTTTGCTGTCATTATGGTGAGGATATTAAAGCTCTACAATCATAGCAACTTTCAAGTACACAGTTCAGTATTGTTAACTATAGTGACCATGCTGTACCTTAGAAACCTAGAACTTATACATCTTATAACTGAAAATTTAAACCCTTTGACCCACATTTTTGCATTCCCCCAACCTCTCAGCCCCTGGCAACCATGATTTTACTCTATTTCTATATGTTCAGTATTTTTAGATTCCACATATAAAGGAGATCATTGTCTTTCTCTATATGATTTATTTCGGCATAATGCTCTCAAGGTTCATTCATGTTATCACAGATGGCAGGATTCCCTTCTTTCTCATGGCTAAGTACTATGCAATTATATGCGTGTATATATGTATATACACCACATCTTCTTTATCTATTCATCTGTTGATGATATGGTTGTTTCCATATCTTGGTTTTGTGAATAATGTGGCAATAAATATGGGAATGCACATTTCTCTTCGAGATAGTATTTCGTTCTATGCAATTATATGCGTGTATATATGTATGTACACCACATCTTCTTTATCTATTCATCTGTTGATGATATGGTTGTTTCCATATCTTGGTTTTGTGAATAATGTGGCAATAAATATGGGAATGCACATTTCTCTTCGAGATAGTATTTCTTTTTTTTTTGGATACACAATTATCTGCCTTTATCCACTTGGGATAGGTTCCAAATCTCTCAGCTGATGTCTGAAACCACAAATAGTACCAAACCCTATATATATTATGTGTTTTTTCCTATACATACATACCTTTTCTCTTAAAGAAAGCACTTTACAACTTCTCTTTGGCATATGCAAATTGCCAGCATCACTACTCTTGCCTTTTAGAGCCATTATTAAATAAAATAAGGGTTACTTAAACACAGCACTGCAATGCCATGACAACAGGTAGAACTGATAACCTAGATGGCTACTAAGTGACTAATGGGCATATACAGCATGGATATATTGGACAAAGGGATAATTCATGTCCTGAGTGAAATGAAACAAGATTGTGTGAGATTTCATCATGCTACTCATAACAGCATGCAAATTAAAACTTATGAATTATTTATTTCTGGAATTTTCCATTTAGTATTTTCAGATCTTGGTTGATTGAGGGTAACTGAATCTATGGAAAATAAAATCAAAATAAAGGAGGACTACTGTATACCTAGAAGTGAGATTGCTAGATCATATGGTAGTACTATTTTTAATTTGTTGAGGATCCTCCTTACTGTTTTCCATAGTGGCTGTACTAATATACATTCCTACCAACAGTGCACCAGGGTTCCCTTTTCTCCAGATCTTCACCAACATTTATTATTTATTTATTTTTAATAGTAGCCATTCTAATAGATGTGAGGTGATATCTGTCTCATTTACCATCCATTACATTGGGGAATGTGTTCATAGAAAATTCCGATATCTCCATGCTCTAGTTCCTAGAAAATCACTTGCTTCATTATGAATGCTCCTGAATTCCTCAACCGTCACCCCCTTTCTCCATCTCCAACCTACCTTCTCTGCCCCACCATCATCTGGCCAACTTCTGTGCATCCCACTTTTGCCAGCTTTGCATCCTGTTCTTTTCTGATCATGGCACTTTCACACTCTGCTAGCTCTGTCACTCTTCCCCTCAGGCTCTCTCACTAAATGCAAGCTACTTGACCATCATGGTTTTGACTATCCCATTCACCATTCTGTCACAAACACCCAAGCACAGAATAGGCGTACAACAAATATTTATTGAATAAACAAATAATTTATTCATTGTTACTCTTGATTTTTATAAAGTTTGACCCCAGATGGATGTTTCAAAATATAAAAATTATATTTTCAAAATATAAAAATATGAAAATAAATATTTTTATATATTTATAAAAATATAAAAATAGTCAGCTCTTCTCATTATTACAAAAGTTCCTGGGTGTGGGTTATCCAAAGATCATGTGTTGACTCACAGATTAATGGTCACTTTTCCCATTTCCCCACTCTTTTCTATGCCCTCCACTGGATATGGCAGAGCAATGGTTTGCTCCAATGCACAGCCTATCCATTTTATCCTTTCATTAAAGAACCAGAGGTTAGATAAGCTTTTGAGCTTCAAAGCCTTGCCTCCAGTGTTGTAAACTGATATAGAGGAAATCTAGAAGTCATTAAGTAATCACTTAGGTGAAACTTTTGTTGATTTTGTACCATTTGTTAATTGACAAGAGGACTGAATGTGCTTAATTGCAAAAAGTAGATGAGAGTAAACTGCGAGACCAGTTTATTTTAAAACACGATGTCTTCCTTTATTTTGTCAAGAAGAAATTTTACCTGTTTGTAAGTCTGGCTCTGCTGGTTGTTAAGGCAGATTTTGAGAATGGGCATCATCTTTATTTGCTTAAAATCACCTGTAAGCTCTTTTAATTTCTGTGTCTAATCAATCTCCATTCTTTAGAAATTGTATTATGAAGGCAACAATGCATTTTGGCTTGGCTCATGTTTAATATTATAAATAACTTAAAAAGGATCTTACCTCTGCTAATGTCTTATTTTCAGATGTTATTATCTGGACATATAATATGCAAGTAGAGTTTATCAAAACTACTAACGTGGTTAAGAAAATATTTCTGCAGTGGTAAAATTTAATTTAAGGTAGAGATCTGTGCAACAGTCTGAATGGCACTGTGAACTTAGAAATAAGAGTATGGCTCTTGTCAAGGAACAATGATCTCATTCCTTCACTCTTTGTTAAGTATCTATTTTGTGTTAGGCATTGCATTATAATCATAGTATTCAATTGATTCATTTAAAAATTCTTTCAGAAATTATGCACTGAATATATAGGTGCCAGGCACAATTCTAGATGCTGTGAATGAACAAGTCACATGTGGTTTCTGCCATCAAAAAGCTTATATTATGTGATGGAGGGAGATGGAAAATATGGACATGTAAGAAACATGTGCTTCAGACTAGATCTTCAAAGAGCAACAGTAAGACAAACAGTTAACTTTTCAACAAAAATTATGGAAGTATAAGTCGATGAAATGATATTTTTAAAGTGCTGAAAGAAAATAAACCCTACCAATGGAGAATTCTGTGTCCTAATGAAATTTTTTTTGTTTTCAAAAATTATGGCAAACTAAAGACATTTTCAGACAATTAAAAGTTGAGCAAAGTTGTAACTAGCAGACCTTCAGTACAAGAAATCCTGAAGAAAGTTCTTCAAGGTGAAAGAAATCTATCCCAAAAAACTGCAGGAAGAAAAGATGGTCCCCAGAAAGGGTAAATGTGAAAAAATATTTGTGACTTAAAGCAACAACAATAGTAATGTCTTATGTTTATAACATTTGTGAAAGTGAAATATTTGAAAGTAATAGCACAAAGGCAGGACAAGGGTAAATGGAGTTAGCTGTCTGCATTATCCAAGAAGTGGTGAAAGTACTAATTTAAGGTATAGATTGTACTTAGTCAAGAATGAAATGCATATAATAATATTTTAGAGTAACTGTGAAAAGAATAACATAAAAATACTTAACTAAAAGCTAACAGAAAATATAAAATGGAATGCTGAAAAATATTTGATTAATTAAACAGAAGTTTAGAAAGCAAGAACAAAGGAACAACTACAACAACAACAATAGCAAAAAACACGGTTAGATAGAAACAAAAAGCAATTAGACTTATACCCTAGTATGTTAGTAATTACATTAAACATTAGTGGACTAAATGCTATGTTTGAGAGACCAAGATTGCCAGACTGGATTTTAAGTATCCCAAATATTTCCTGTTTGTAATTTACACATTAAACATAAAGACACAGATAAAGTGAAAGTAAATGAATGGTAAAGATATGCTGTACTACTGCTAATCAAAAGAAAGCTGGCATAGCTACAGATATCAGACAAAGTATACTTTAAGACAAGACATAGGGATATAAAGAGGAACATTTCATAATGATATAAGGATCAATTCAATAGGAAAACATAATTCTAAATATGTATGTATCTAATAACATATACTTTAAGTATACACAACAAAAATATTTTGTTAAGAGTTGCAAATGTGGAGCTATCCTTGCATCCCTGGAATAAATTCTACTTGATCTTGGTATATCCTTTTAATGTATTGTATTGTATTTGCTAGTATTTTGTTGAGGATTGCTGCATGTATGTTCAGTAGATATATTGGCCTATAAGTTTCTTTTCCTTTTTTCTCTCGTCTTTGCCTGGTTTTGGTACCAGGGTAATGCTGGCCTTGTAAAATGAAGAGTTTGAGAGGAATGGGTGCTATATCTTTGACTGTTTGGTAGAATTCGCCAGTGAAACCATCTGGTCCTGGACTTTTGTTTTTGGGGAGGTCTTTTTACTGTTTCAGTTTCCTTACTAGTGATCCATTTATTCAGGTTTTCTAGTTTTTCATGTCTAGGAAGATTATCTGCTTCTAAAATTTTGTCCATTTCTTTTAGCTTGCCCAAGGTGGCATGTAACCTTTCATAATCATCTTGTATAATCCTTTGTGTTTCTATGGTATCTGTTGTAACTTCTCTTCCATTTCTGATTTTATTTGAGCCTTCTTTTTTCCTTAGTGAGTCTAGCTAGGATTTTTTCAATTTTGTTTATCTTTTCAAAGAACCAGCTCTTCATTTCAGTAATTTTGACTGCTGTCTTTTTATACTCTACTTCACTTATTTCCACTCTGATTTTTATTATTTCCTTCCTTCTAGTGACTTCAGGCTTTGTTTGTTCATCTTTTTTAGTTCCTTAAGGTGTAGTGTTAAATTGTTTGTTTGAAATTTTTCTTTTCTTTTTTGTTAGGTCTGTGTTGCTATAAACTTTCCTCTTAGCACCGCTTTTGCTGCATCCTCCAAATTTTGGTATGTGGTATTTTCATTTTAATTTGTCTCTGTGTATCTTTTGATTTCTTTTTTTGTTTCTTCTCTGACCAAATAGTTGTTCACTGTCCTGTAAAAGAATTATACAAATTAACAATTATAGATGTGGATTGAAAAGCACTTCTCTCAGCAACTGGCAAAACAAGAAGGCAAAGAATTAGTATCCCAAAGTTGTAGGATACATATTCTTTTAAAATACATATGGTGTAAGAGTCACTGAAGTAGATCATATGCTGGAACAAAAAACAAGTTTTAACCAACTTCAGAGGATTGAAATAATATATAGTATGTTCTCTGACATGAGTGGAATTAAACAAGAAGCAAAAACAGAAAGATAATTTGAAAACATTTAACTGTTTGGTAATTAAGCAATGCATATCGGATTAACTCATGAGTCAAAGAAAAAAATCACAATAAAAATTAGACTTTATTTTGAAGGGAATGATAATGAAAATATGACATATCAAAATGTCAAATGCAGCTAAAACAATACTTAAAGGAAAAATTATAGCTTCAAATATGTTAGAAAAGAACTTTGAAAATTAAAAATCTAAGCTTCCATCTCAAAAAATTTTGATATAGTATAGAAAATTAAATCCAAAGAAAGATAACAAAATCAAAGACAAAAGTAGTATCAGTAAAATAGAAAGCAGTTGTAAATAGAGAAAATCAATAAAATTAAAAGTCATTCTTTGAAAAGACGAATAAAATTAATAAAACCCTGATGCATGACCAATCAAGGAAAAAATGGGAAAAAGAAAAGGAAAACACAATTTACTAAAACTACCTAACAAGAAATAGCTAATCTGAATAATCCTACATATATTAACATAACTGAATCTATAATTTAAAATATTCTCACAAAGAAAACTCCAGGCCTAGACAGCTTTGCTAATGAACTCTTCAAAATATTTAAGGAAGAACTAATACCAATCTTAAGCATAATCTTTTAGAAAGCAGAGGAAGAGGGGACATTTCCCAACTTACTTAATGAGGATAATGTAACAATGAGACCTAAAGCTGACAAAGGAAATAAAAGAAAGTTATAGACCACTATACGTCAGAAACATAGAGAAAACATCCTAAACAAAATATTAGCAAATGAGACCTATGGTAATGCATCATGACCCAGTGGTGTTTATTTTAGAACAGAGAGGCTATTTTACTAATCAAAAATATGAATCAATGTAGTTAATTAGTGAATATTTGTTCCTGTCCCAAACATCTGTGGAGACATTTGGTGAATGCCAAAACATCCTTGAAACGCCCATAAGCATAATTGGTTCACGCCAAAGAGTCTTTAATATTTGGTCCTGTCAAAAATGTCCACACTTTGAAAATGTCCCTGGATTCAAGGGGTATAAGGCAAGAAAAGAAAAGATATAAAAATAGAAAATAAAGATTTAAAATTTACATTATTCACATGTGACATGAATATTTACATAGAAAATTCAAAAGAATCTACATATTTAGATTTAATCAACAAATTTCATATTATTGTATATAAAGCCAACACACAAAAAACTGGTTGAATTTCTATATAGTAGAAACAAACTATTGGAAAATAAATTTTAAATAAAATATCTTTAACAATAAAAATGAAAAAAATTAAATACTTAGGAATAAGCCTAATAAAAGATGTGCAAGATCTCTACACCAAAGACTAACATTGCTGAGAAAAATTTTAAAAGTCATATATAAATGGAGAGATACGCCATGCTTAGACATTAAAGACTAAATATGGTTATTATGTCAGTTCTTTCCAACTGATATATAGATTCAACATTATTCTAATAAAAATCCCAACAGAAGTATTTTGTTTTTTGAAATATACAAGTTGAATTTAAAATTTATTTGGAAATGCAAAATATCTAGAATCCCAAGACAATCTGAAAAACAGAATTGGTGGACTTGTATGCTACCAAATTTCAAAACTTATGAAACTATAAAATTACCAAAATTAATTCAATGTGATATTGACAAAGAATAATCAAGTATACCAAGGAATAGAGTAGAGAGTATAGAAACAGACTCTCACGTAGAAGGTTAGCTGGTTTATAACAAAGGTAGCTTCGTAACTCAGTAGGGAAATGATAATCTTTTCCATAAATAGTAATGAAGCAATTGAATATATGTATAGACCTGTATGTAGCTTACTCAACACACAAAATATATGTGAAATGAATCATAGATTTAATTATAAAAGTGAAACAATTAAGCTTCTAGAAAAAAATAGAAAAATCTCTTCATTTTTACATAGTTCAAGAACTCACAAAACTAATAGTAGCAGTGGAAGATGGAGAGTGGTTACTTTATGGAGAATGTGGATTAGGAAGGAGCAGAGGTGCTAGAATTGTTTGTTTCAGATCATGGTCTGGTGGTTATAAGCATTTATGCATATGAATAACTCAGGCTAATGAAGTAGATTATCACTCCTCATTTTATAGATGAAAAAACTGAGGCACTGTGAAGTTAAGTAATTTATCCAAGATCACACAGCTAACAAATGGTAGAAATGGGATTTGAACACAGCATGCTGGTGCTGTACACTTATTTAGATTAGGGCACTCGATGCAATAGAAAAATGGACATAGACATTAACAAATGCATCAAAAAAGAAATGTCAATGGAAATGAGAAAATATTTTTATATTTATTCTCCTCTTCCCACTTCCCATTTCCACACCCAACCTTTGTCAGTTCCTTTTCTCCATACTGACTAAAGCACTTTTGTCAAGCATTTTAATTACTAAATCTAAATTTTTGTGACAATTACCCTTGATTTTAACTGTAAATAAACTTGAAAAAGTTACCAGATAATCTATCGAATTGGCAAAAACTCAAAATTATATCAACATTGATGCAAGAGCTTCTGAACGAAATATTGACAAACTGAAGCAAAATGCTTGGGAATTTAATCACTGTAAAACACTGTGGGAATGACACAGACACTGTGCTAAGTCCAAAGAAGTCCATAAAATGAGAGACAGCCTCTTCCTTCGATGAGCTCACACTTTGATAATAATAACAAAGCTTTGTATAGCACTTCTTGTGTGCAAGGATTTATTCTAAGCGCTCTACTTGTGTTAGTTTATTTCATTCTCCCAAGAAATGAATGGGGTAGATTATCATTTTCTATTTTATAGGTGACAAAACTGAGACACTGAGAAGTTAAGCAATTTATCCAGGATCACACAGCTAACAAATGGTAGATCTGAACATAGCATTCTGGTGCTATGCCACATTTTTTACTTCTCTATGAGAGTGAGCACTTCTCCTTTAGGGTTGGATAGGAGTATTTGGGGAAAGTATTCTTTGGAGCTCCTTAAAAGCCCAAGAGCAGCCCATGCTGGGGGCCCTGTGCATCAGGAAAGGGGTTGCTATCTCACCCTCTCTCTGGAGGCCCGGTTTTTCAGGAAGTGGTCTCTAGAGATCCATATTTAACTTCTAAAGTAAAATGGGCAT